AAAGCTCATCAGAACGGGAGCAGGAGCCGAGCGTGCAGCGAGTCGCTGTCACACACGTTTTCTCTTTCTCTCAGGATGCTTACAAGATTGACCTGCGCAGGGAAGGCTTGTGAATCCCCCTGGACGTGGGCATGAGGTAAGTGCCAAGCAGCTTGGGGCTGTGAAGATTTGGGCAGGGCTGCGTATAGGTGGTAGCCAAAATTTGGGCACCTTACGACGTGCATGGTTAGGGGGGGTAACGAGGCAGCTGCGAGAGGCTATGCAGGGATTCGGAGAAGCTGGAACTTGGACTCAAGCGCGACCTTGTGAGACTGCTACTCCCCCGAGGCAAACCAATGCCACTCGCTCAGAAATAATGAAAATTATAGAGTATATGTTACTGTAAGAAGGGACATAATTAAGACGCAGAACGTGTAGGCGGAATATCCTAGGATGACATTCAATAGCACAACCTTTGAAGGGAAGTGGGAGCAGCTTTGTTTCTGGGTACGTGCAAAAAACAAAAAAGGAAGCGCACACAGGAACAGCCATTGTTTGCTGCTAGATAAAGCATTTCTGGCGTTACTCTGGTCATCTGGAACATGGCGCTGAACCTGCCTTCAGAGGCGAGATGTGCCAGCTCAGCAGGGACCTGCCTGGACTTTGGTTTTAAACGTTTCCTTTGCAAAAGTTCTTAAGCCGGCCTGCACGGATGAGCGTGGGAGTGAGGAGACAGGGGCAAGGGCTTGATTTCTTTAAGCCATAGCTTCTCACTAGCTAACAAGTGCCAGTGTAGGATCATGGAGTCATAGTCATAGAGAAGTCAGGTTGGAAGGGACCTCCAGAGGTCATCTAGTTTAACCTCCTGTCATCCCTATCCACGTCATACTCTAAACTTGATAGAAGACCTACCATCAGCCCTGACATAACATAGACTTATCACCCTAACCTGCCACAGGTAATGCAGGGGAACCACGGCAGCCACTGTCATAGAAAATGAGGGTTAGAAAGGATCTCAGGAGGTCACGTCTAGTCCAACCCCCTGCCCAAAGCAGGACCAGCCCCAGCTAGATCATCCCAGCCAAGGCTTTGTCTAGCCAGGTCTTAAAAACCTCCAAAGACAGAGCTTCAAACTCCTCTCTGGGTAACATGTACCACTTTTATTACCCTCCAGGTGAGACAATTCTTCCTAATATCTAACCTAAACCTCCCTTGCTGCAACTTGAGCCCACTGCTCCTTGTCCTGTCGTCTGCCCCCACTGAGAACAGTCCGGCTCCATCCTCTTTGCAACCCCTCTTTAGGGAGTTGAAGGCTGCTATTAAATCCCCTCTGAGTCTCCTCTTCTCTAGACTAAATAAGCCCAGTTCCCTCAGCCTCTCCTCACAAGTCCTGTGCCTCATCCCCCGAACCATTTTCATTGCCCTCCACTGGACCCTCTCCAATTTGTCCACATCCTTGGTACGTGGCCAAAACTGAACATAGGACTCCAGCCGTGGCCTCACCAGTGCTGAATAGAGGGAAATAATCACGCCCCTTGTCCTGCTGGCAACACAACTACAAATGCAGTCCAATATGCCATTAACCTTCTTTGCAACAAGGGCACACTTGTCCTGCTTCTATGAAATGTAGATATGTGTTTAAAAGATGCCAGGTAGAGGGTCAGGGCTCCCCCTGCAGAAGAAGGCAGAAACCCCTGCAGTCCATATCCATCAGGCCGCAGGGTAAAATTTCTTCCCGACACCTAGCAGGAGAATGGGCACACCCCTGTTCACATGCCCAGGCAACACCCAGTGCTTCTGGGGAGGTTGAAGAGCACCCTGACAAATACAGCAGAGCCCAGGAGCATGGGAAATATCCATGGCATAAAATAGGTATAGCTAGATCACCTAGATCATCCCCGACCAGTGGCTGTTCGACCTCTTTTTGAACATCTCCAGTGACAGAGCCCACAATTCCCCCAGGCAGTCTCGTTCACTGCCTCGCTAGTCTAAGTGAAGAAGTTTTTTCTGGATATCCAATCTAAACCTACATTGCTGCAGCTTCAAGCCAGTGGTCTGCATCCTCCTCTGCAGCAAGAGAGAAAAGGTGCTTATCCTATTCTTTACGGCAGCCCTGCGAGTTATTTGAAGACTGATATCAAGTCCCCTCTAAAGCACCTTTTCTGCAAGCTGAACGTGCCTAGCTCCTTCAGTCTCTTCATATGACTGGCCTTCCAAGCCCTTGATTATCTTTGTTGCCCACCTCGGACCTGCTCTAATTTTTCCACAGCCTTTTTCAAACGTGGAGTCCAGAACTGCACACACGACTCCAGATGAGGCCTAACCAGCACCAAGTAGAGGCACTATCACCTCCTGTGTAGTGTAGGCCTTTTGTGTGGCTGCATCACGCTGCAGACCCTTATCGAGTCTGTGGTCTACCAAGACTCCCGCATCCTTTTCCACTTTGTGTTTTGATCGCTCCTCCCGAGGTGCAGCACTTTGCACTTGTCCGCACTGACTGTCGTCCTGTTGGCTCTAGCCCAACTTCCCGATCCACAAAGATCCTTCTGACTTGTGCTCACATGCTCCAGTGTGTTCATAATCCTTCCCAGTTTCATGTCGTCTGCAAACTTGCTCAACAAGTTTTCAATGCCAGCATTCAAATAATGAATAAACACGTTGAACAACAGTGGGGCCAGGACAGACCCCTGTGGGACTCCTCTCGAAACCTCTTGCTATTTTGACATAGACCCATTAATAATCACCCTTTGGTTGTGGCTATTGAACCAGTTGTCTATCCGCCTTTGTAGTTTTATCCAGTCCACACTTTTCCAATGCGTTTCCAAGAAGGTTGTGCGGGACCGTGTCAAAAGCCTTGCTGAAGTCCAGATATGCCATGTCCACAGCGTTCCCTTCATGCACCCAAGCAGTTACTTTGGCAAAGAAGAACAGCTTTGTTTGTTGGACACTATTTGTTGTTCATAAACCCATGCTGGCTGCTTGCGATCAGCCTTTCCTCCTCCAGGTGCTTGCAAATGGCCTTCCTTTTTTAATGTTAATCTCTTCCAGCCGAAGTTTTTCTGATGCTGTTTGCTTTGTAACAGATGTGTTGAAGTCTGTGGACTTAAGTGCAGTCTCACTGGTCTCCGGCAGATGGCAATACGTGCCTGCAGCTGAGCGCAGCAGACATTGCAGAGCCTGGGGAGAGCTGCAAATCGGTTTGGCTACTCTGTCTTGCCTAGTAGTGAGGATACGCAGCCGGGAGGTGGCGTTTGGCTCCCCTCCTTGCTCGCTGGACTGTTTTTTATGTTTCGCATGTCATGGCACGTAATCATGAGAGCAGGGGTGTGAACCTGGTGTTCCCTCCCCAGTTAAGAGGCTACAGCATCTTATTTCCTCTGGCCTGCTCTTTTGGTCCTGTGAAGTTTGGTAGCCTTGACCAGGCAGCAGGTGGAGAGTCTTTTCCCATCTTCGGCGGTTAGGTGACTTTGGGAGATTGCATAAGCTTGCATGTAGACTCCTGAAACTGGACCGAGGTAGATTTAACACCCTTTCATCACCATTTATGTCTTTCCTCCTAGTTCTCCTGCATTTTTCCTAATGGAATTTTGTGTTGAGCCCAAAGCGATTAATCAATGAATCTAATAAAGTCAAGGGGAGCTAATGGAGCCATTTACACTGGACAGACCTGAGATATCAATTAACGATGCCGTTAACATTTACTTACTCTTTTATAGCATGCTTCTCAGAGCCGGACTCTAGGCTGGCCACTTCAGCTAGCACAGTTAGTGTCATTCAGTCTGAACGAGTTTGTGTACTACGTACAGCTGTCAAAATAACAACTTACAGCTGTCAAAATACATGTCCAAGCCGTGAGCAAAGTATAAAGAGCCAACCCTTTTTTTTTTTATCATCTAAGGATTCCTACCTTGAGTAGTGAACCTCCCTATTGTCCGGTGGCAAAAGAGGGGACAGAGGCAAGATGAAATTGCCTGGAAGGGGAAGTCTGCATAGCACTTGCTTTACTTTTTTTGGTAGCACCCGTTTTCAAAAATAATGCAAGTTAAATGGCACAGTAGCAGAGCAGTTAAGGTGTTTTAATAGCTCAACAGGTCAGAACGCTTTTGGCACTGGATTTCTATTTGAAATTTCTGGGTGGATCCTGTGCAGGTGTTTGCACACCTAACAGTGCTGCTACTGAGACACGCCTGGGGGTGCTGTTAAAAGGATTACAGCATCCTGGTTGAGAATCACTGTTTTAATTCATTTTAATTCAGTTGTCCTTTTGTTTTCCCTGAACAGAAAGTGCTTAGTCAGTCTAAATAAACTCCTGCTTTTTTCCACCATACAATGCTCCGATTAATATAACACCCCCATGGCTACCAGGAATTAAGCCTAAAGATTAACATTTACTGGAGGCAGGAGGGCGGTGGGGAGCAAAGGAAAGTGAGATCTCGTTCAGCGTTGCAAACAAGAAACGGCAGAATACACACATACAGTAGGTGCCTTGGACGTTATTTTAAGAACATTAATCCCGGTTTGAGTTGTTCTGGGGAGACGGCTCGGGTTAGCTGCAATAAAACAGCTTTCACACTAAGCCTGCTCTCAGTTTTAGTAGGTATAGCGCAGGTCTCTCTGCAATGTGTTTCAGCCATATAATCAACCGGCATATTGACACTTCTGTCTTGAAAAGAAAATGATGAACGGGCAAACAAAATGCAGCAACTCGGCTCCAGTAAACGTGCCAGACACAAGAATTCCTCAAATGTACTTGAATTTTCCTGAAGTCGCACACAGCGGGGAGCTGGGGAGGTCGCAGTGCAAATAGGAATTAAAGGATCTGTACTTCAAGTGCTTCACAGCAGGTAGCCCGGATCGTGCAGCTGGTCACACCATTTCCTTCAAGCACTACACTGCATTTTTTTTGCACCACACGTAGTTCGTTACAGTTTAGTTACACCACATAAGTACATGTTATATTTCTGATGACACGCTCCAGCTCTTTGCTAGCCAGCTGCATTTTAAAGAAAACAAAGACACAGTACCAGTGAAACAGTGTTTAATGTAGTTAAATTACTTAAATAGATTTCAATTTCCATGGGAAATCATAACTGTTTCAATTTTTGCAAGATCCAGAATCGAGTGTATGTATACCCCTTGAAATGATCATGACACACTGTCAACAACCACAGCCAGAGATACTTGGGACTTGAAATATCAAACACAGCTGCATAAAAGTGGATCAGCGAACCGATCAAAATACAGACTTTGTAAAGTAGAAAGCAAACCTAAAATGAATGTAGGTAGTGAAGTTAATGAAACTCGGTGAGTGACGGGAGGGTGGGAGGGGAAGGAAGGCATAATAGTGCAATGGAATTAAAAGTATTTTGCAAATCAGAAAGAACGTAAAGGAGCAAAAGTATAGTACAAGGGCAGACTTGGCAGTTTTACAGGAGTCGATATACTATACTTTTCAAGAATGTTTCCTAGTGGAAGGGGAAGGAACAGGGAGGTGCCATTTAAGCTCAAGTTTAAATGGCTTGATGCTACACGCTGAGCAAAATGGCAAATTAATTAGGGACAGGCTCATGGATTTGAACCTATTCTTGATGTAAAGTAGGAAAAATAAGATGAAGTCCCTACTTTATAAATCACCACCATAGTGCAATCATTAAGTTGTTAGTACTACAATAATTTTCCCCTGAGAAGAGTTGAAAAGAACTTTATTCAGTGTCAAAACATTTGTGTCATTTTAGTGAGAGCCAAATTCAATATCAAAACTCTCCCCTAGTAGAATATAAAAAATACAGTTTTTTAAGTGCTTTTCTCCTTTTTTTTAATAAAATAGCCAGGGTTTTTTTCTTTTAATAGTTAAAAAAGGTACATAAATCATAACAATGATTATTCATATACCCCTCTTATGACAGGGGGATGTCGAACACAATATCTGTGTCACTATATTTAAAGGTCTCCTGAATCCACACACAAATTATCCATTATAATCTCATTTCTAAAAGATAAAATCCCTCAACTCTTAAAATTGAAAATAAACATAAGTCACCAATTCAATTAAGTGTCTACTACAAGGTAGTCAACCCAGCAATGCAGTACACAGTCTCTGATGTCCAATGGCAGTTGCAGTCTTTTAGCCACCCCTTGACAGGAGCCTGTTAATAGCTGCTATGACAAAAAAATAGAAGAAAAAGTTAAAATGATCTGATTTTTGTTCCTTTGCGTCAAGACTTCCTACCACTCCTGACTGGCACTTATCATGCACTTTATTTCCAATCACTGCACTCTTTCGCCCCAACTTCATCATGAATGCTGCACTGAACAAGGATCTGTATTGTTTATTGTACTTGGATATTTTCCTCTTCATTAGGGTTGTAGGTTTTTCTTAATTTTCTCTCAAAAATGCTTCCGAGTCAGCCTGGAACCTCATCCGCCGCTGTTTGATTGTATACTACTAATCTGAAAACTGCCAAGTCTGTGTTCAGCAAATAATGTTATACGTTTCTACACGTTATTTACACATCCCAACACACCCTGGTGTGGACAGCCTAATATATATAATTTACAAAATATAGCATTTGGTATATCTGTTAGATCTCCGTGTTTTCAATATTACAAAATAAAGGATACAAAAGAAAGGACAGGTATCAGGGTTCCCTCCCCGCCGCGCCAAACCGTCTCTCGTTTACCTCTTAGTCTTTCTTATGTAAATTGATATAAACCGAAGAAGAGCTCAGAAGACTTTTTGATTTCATAAACAGGTCAATAGAGCCACGTTTCCTCATCTCGAGCTTCCCCTTCCTTTTGGTGACGTCTCTAAGCCACGAAAGAGGACGGAGGGACAGTTGCTAGACGATGAGGTCTCTTTTCAAACCAAGAACACTACCGACGCCGTTCGAAATGGCCTTTTGTGTGTAGCGACAGTGGGTATCACGTGTCGTTTGAAAAGCCCATTCAAAACAGCTAATAAAAGACCAGTACACTTCAAATAGCTGACAGTATGGGATGGAAATGGGTGGGGTGCAAAACCTTTCCAAAATAATGCTTTGTAGTGAATCATACATTCCTCCAACCAAGTACAATTCTGTGTAGTGTCAATAAATACTTAAATATCTTCTCATGTCCTGCGTAGCAGCCTCATTTCACAATCTTGAATTCCTGTCTCATCCGTGCAGTCCTTCTTTGGTCAGTTCAGCGCTTCCGCGTCCCCAGCGTTTGCTCCTGCTCCTCCTGCCTTGCATGGTGCGCAGGCAAACTCCCGCTCTCAAGTCATTGTGTGAAAAAAAAAAAAAAGAATAATCAGCTGCCCTGTGTTTTTAGGTCCACTGCTAACAAAGTGATTCTTCAGCGAGTCGTGCTCAATTTTGCGGCAAATCCCCTTTTTAAAGTCATGTCACAGCTGCTGCTAACTGATTGGTGGCCCTTCATTAAGGAAATAGGTGGTCATTTCTCCTTTCCCTTTCACCTTAATGACCCCTCGGCATTCCAGCTGATAGTTGTTGGCTGCTAAAACCTGGTACAGGTCTGTGGTTACCTGCGGAGGACAAAAAGCTGGATTACACCATCGCAGCAATCCACGTGACCATTCACGTAGGCTGCAACGTTTCCTCGAGTCCCCTTGTATCGACCACCTCGTAGTCGAGGCGGTTACTTACCAACCCAACGCGAGCCGAGAAGAACGAGGTTGAAGCAGGTGCATCGGCTATTCTGCAAAGGGGGCTGAGACCTCCGGAGGCGGGAGGGGATGTTACCCGAGGGAGGACTCGGTTACAAGGGGCCTCCGTGTGACAAAGGTCGGTTGCAGCCCTAAGAATTACACCTGACCATCCGAAAGAATGGCTTAGCAGGTGACAGTGCCTTAGCTGGACTCAGGAGGGTAGCTGTGTGGCAAATTCAGATAATATGCTTGGCTCTTAACAGCGTTGAAGTGGTGGTATAGCCGTGATGGTCCAGGAAATAAGTGAGAGGCATGGATTTCCGTGAATATCTTACTGGACAAACCACACAGTTGGAAGAGATTCAGACAAGCTTTCAGGAATGGTACTGTGATACCTGAAAGCTTGTCTAAATTTATCCCAACCAGGCTTTTAGGCTGATAAAAGAGATCACCCACAAAAATCTTGGCCCCTCAGTGCTTATGTCATTTCTCAGGAAACTAGAAACTAACTGAATCAAACTGGAAACACACCAGGAGCTCAGATGGGTGAAAGAAAGCAAGGAATGCATCTGTCATCCGAGACACGTGACATTTTTAAGCACACGAGCTGATCCAGCGCAGCCTCTTGCAACTTTCCACTGAGCTCCCATTTCCCACAGGTTACTGCAAGGGACGTCATTAGCAGGATCCGATACAGAAAAGCAGCGGCTCTCAGGAAGACGAGTGTTGTATTGTCTGTGCCGTGCTCGTGTACTCAACAAACGCACCAAAACATGGTCACCTTGATTAAAGCTGTCAAACCCCGTTAAAGTCTGTGCCCATGCACAACTGTTCCTTGCAGGGTCTTTTATCATGCAAGGTGTATTCTCTGGGTATTTGTTTCCAGTTTTACCTTCAAACAACTGGAAAGTCACTATGCTGATTTGTTTAACTAGCAAGAAAATAGCTCTGATATTCTCCGTTTAAAAGGTATTGGATAAATATTGACCCACTTAACTGACAGCTTAATTGTGGGGAAGAGCAACATGGCCTCCCCACTTGGGTTCAGCATCAGTTGCTCTATTTTAACAACTCCTTCATGCGGCATAAGGAATGATGATACACAACCGTGGCATCGACTCCTAGAGGAAACAGGACCGTATGCGCCATGTGACAATGGAAATGAATCACTGGAAAAGGTCACCGTCAGAACATAGAACAAGGAGCTTGATTAAAATAAGAAAGATGGCATTAATCTGAAAACTGCTCACTGTTTCTCCAGATAAACTTTCACGCCTATCTGGGTTTCTGGTGCAGTTGCACAGGAACAGTGTGTCCCATCCTTACACTATACCTGGCTTCACCATGACAAATGGAGACAGCTGAGTTTCCTAAAGATGCTCCTATGGCAGGTAATGGCAGCTACAGAAACGTGTGTAAATCAAGTTCTTGTGCACCAAAATACCTCCAAGGTTTTTCCTTGCAGCTCTTTCGGAGGAGGCTCTCGGGGGGGGGATAGATCCCAACCCACACCCTGCTCCCAAGGGAAAAGAACAGTTTCTCTCTCCTTTGTCTGGCACCACGGCATAGGCATGCAGGAGCTTACAATTTTCCTCCCTTGAGTACTTTAATACCAACCCTCACGATTCCCCTGGAAGTCGCTGCCCCCCGCATTTAAAGGCAGAACTCGGGTCAGAGTCAGAGTTACCATTTTAAGCTCCAGTCTTGTCCTCGAGCAAAAATCCCTGCTGGTAATGTCCAAAGGCTTGGCATAAAGGGATGGCAAAGAGCGAGACTTGATCTTTGATTAGGTTTGAAATCACATGAGATACAGCACAGGGTAATACTATAGGTATCTGAAGTTAATCCAAACTCACCTGAATCCTGTCAGGGACACCTGTGCTGTCCATTCGGCTGGCTACATTCACCGTGTTCCCCCAGATGTCGTACTGAGGTTTGCGTGCTCCTATCACCCCAGCTACCACCGGGCCAATATTGAGACCTACAAATAGAGAAAAAATCCCAGTGCTCCAGGTCCATTCTCTGTCCACTCGGCTACCTGAGCAGGCTGTTTTATCAGACCACATGGAAGTCTTGAGGTTTGCATTTCCCTTTATACAGCTAGGGATAATTCATAAGGCCCCTTGGACTGTTTCTAGCTGTGCAGTATATATGGTCTGGCTCTTAGCACCCATAGAGCCCACATGACTTCCCTAGCACACAAGCACATTGAGGAGTCTTCTCATGCTCTTTCCCATCTCTTTTGGGGTCTTTGTCTCATGCTTTGTCAGAGTTTAGTGCTCAGAAGAGGTGACTGAATGACAGGCCTTGTGAATAAAGGCTGTGGCCAAACCTGGATCCCATTCTGATGGGGAAGTAGCGTGTAGGTAATGTAAGACTTAGATCCAACCCGCCCCCTGGACTCTCTGGGCCTTTCCGAAAGGCCCACTCCTGCCACCTGTGCTCTTAAGAGTCTATTCTGCTCCGGTAGGTAGGTAGTAAAGCCTCAGAAACATCAATCTCAGAAAAACCATGCCTAGGGCTGGATGGCGGAAGCAGTCCTCCCACCTTTCAGCCCAACACCCTAGGTGTTAGGGCACTTCCGTAGGGAGCAGGAGAAAAGACGTGGGTTTTAGGTGCCCTGCATCCCTGATGATGTTTGACCCTACATCTCCCACTCCCCAGAAAAATATTCAATCACCAGCCTATGGGTGAGGCACTGCCCAGAGCAGCCTCTAGAGTCCACTTTGCTATGACAGTGCTACTTAGCCATCTAGCGGCAGAGGTAGATTTGGGCCTATTGCCCATAAAAGTTGTATCATGGGCACTAAGTGCACGGCTCCCAACACTGCCCCAACATCCATCAGCCTTGATGTGGTGAGACCACTTTTTGGTTAAAACCCTCTTTGCTGCCTATATAATGAAGCCAAGTTGTGCGAGATCTACTTGTGGCTTCTGCTATGTGAACACTTGCTCTCAAAGAACTGGATTAAGACTGCTGTGTAGATACAGCAATCGCAAGTACTCTTCCATCACTGCAGGTTGGAGTAAATGAAACTAGTCAAGGTCTTGTTATTCAAGCCAGACGAGGCTACAGCTACAACAGCTCTACGTTTAATGTTTATCTAGGTAAAGTAAAACTCATTACATTACCTATTTTCATCTGAAAGTTGTTGAACGAATGCTCATTAATGTACTTCATTTGGTCCATTAACCTCATGGCAAAGTCAGCCAGAGCCTTGATGTGCGTTTTCCCCACCTTGTCATAGGTGGAGTCATTGAGGCCTGAAGCAGCCATGTACGTACTGCCAATGGTTTTGATCTTCTCCAGCTGTCGGAACTGGTCCTCACTTATTATCTGTGTCACAAGAGCAGAACAAAGATACTCAATAAGACGCAAGCTATTCTGTGCTACCCAAGACATCACTGGAACTCAGCCCTACAGTAAGGCACAGCCACTATGAATCACTGCTGCCATCAAAGCTTTCCTTGGCAGAAAAAAAATGGGATCAGAATTGATAAATGTAGCGGAAGGAAGGGGATTATTTGCAGTGGTGGAATGGGGCAAAGAAGAGAACGTGACTTTAAAATAAGACCAATTCAAAAACGTGGGTTTTTCCCTTCTCCTTTGGAGTACAAAAAAGAAGCACACACAGATCCTCTTTGCTCAGGCAGCTGAACTCAAGGATGACGAAAGGCTGCACTTCCCGCGACTCACTTCATCAAAGTCCGCAATGATTTCATTGAGGAGCCGCAGACACTCCACCCCTTCGTTGTTGGCCTCCAGCTCCACGTAGAACTCCGAGAAGTTGCTGATGGAGGCGAACATGACGGCCACGCACTCGCAGGACTGGTAATAGAGCTCATCGTTTCGCCGCTCCTGCGCCAGGAAATGGGCTGCCACGTCCTTTGGCAAGATGTTGTGGAGGAGGCGTCTGTTGTAGGCCTGCAGCTCCTCCATTTCCTCTTTCTCTTCAGTGGCCTAAGGCAGAAGAGAGACAGCTGTATTGGTCATCCTGGTCTGTGCTTTGGGGGGCAGAAAACTGAAAACGAGCTTACAAAAACCCCAGAACACAAATGCACTTCAGCAATGCTTCAGAGCAACCGGGGTCCATCATTTCCAGCCTACTCCCACCTCACAGGATTGTGTCGTTTAGTCCCAGAACAATCTGACGACAAGGTGTGGCCTGGTTTCTCACTCCCCCACCACATGCATCATTACTACGCAAAGCAATGTAAAATACTCTCACTGGCGTAGCTGTAATTACACATCACCAGCATTGCTTCTCCTCGCTGGTCTCAGGGCTAGAGGGGGAAACCAAAGTGGGTGGTGGGGAGCGGAGGAGGGAAGGGGCACGAGGTTCCCGAGATGTGCGATTGGGAGCCCTGTGAAGAGAGATGGAGATGGAAGAAGTTTGCCTGAGGCACAAAGATGTGTGTGTGTGGGGGACGGGACGCGAAGTGGTGTTAGGTGCTTTGGATGGGGCCTGCACTGAGGGAGGGGATGGGGAAGCCAGGGGTATGCAGCAGAATGGAGGCGGAGGGGTGCCCGTTACCAGGGCTGGGGGCGTTATCCCACTTTGCCCCGTTTCAGGACACTCTTGTTGGTCAAATTTAAAAAATTTGGGTTGAAGTTTATTTCTCTGGACCCAAAGCCCATTTCCATCCCAGCACGCTTGGTTTCAAAAGCCTGCCAAACTGAGAACGTGCAACTCTTCTCGCAGCCCAGTGCAAAGGAGAGCAGTCAGGATGCAGTTGTTCAAGTCCAAGCAGCAAGTGGCATTACAACACCGTCTCCCTGCAGAAAACTCCTAAATCAAAGGAAATACAATTTGCACAACAACATCTGCCCCTACGTCTTGATGCTCATGAAAAGCGAGCTCACAGAAAAAGGGATTCGTTGAGTCCCGCACTCCAGTTTGTCCTACACTCTCACCAACCCTCTTCAACATGACTGCAGTGCGAGATGGGTCCTTGCCTGTGGACTGCAACCTGCACCCCGGCCTGCTCTGGCCAGCCACAGCCTGCAGCTAGTGACTTCCAGTTCAGCCTGCAAAGTCTATCATTTTCCCAGGTGACAGAAGCTTTCCAGTTTAGGTGAAATGAAACCACGTCTGGGAATGAAGGGTAGAGAAGAGGGTATTTTGTTTCTGGATACTGGTCCAATGTGGATGGATTTAGATACTGTTAGATAGAACCAGCACGCTTAGATGGAGGTTCTTCCATAGGTCCTGCTGAGTAAATGAAAGTACAAGCTCACTGCAATAATCTGGCTTCCCAGATAATTGCTCTTTGGGGATCTCTCCAAGTTCTGTTTGCAGACTTAATTAGTGCCAGTGTTGCACCAACTGAAATCCACTGACTACAGTGGAGCTACTTTTGATTTATTGGCTGGAGGACAGACTCAGATGTGCATGCATTGCATCTTTCTCCTCTCTACTGTGTGCTAACAACCTCTCCCCCACCCCCATTTTTACATAATTCTCAACATTTCTGAACAAGGGGAAAAAAATCTGTGCAGGTAGCAAATGCAACCGGCAAGGCTAACTGTACGTAACCACCCTCCTTCACAGGAGCACCGAAGGGCTGCCCCGCATGTCTCCTCTGGACATCAGGACTTCCATCTGGCCTTCTCCATTTATGCAGAGGGCCACTTCTGCAACATGGTGCTTCTGGGTATGACAAAAACAGGGACATGGAAAACACTTTGACCCATCTGGAGAAGCACCTGAAGAATCCTGGCTTTGGCATGGAGCATCAAGTAGCCATGGGCAAGTCACCTGACATCTTTGCTTGCTCCATCTTTGGTAAGATCAAGATGATAGTATTTATGTACGATCCAGAAGGGAATTCACTAACCACGTGGTTTAAATGGGCACATTGTCAGTGTGGTGCCTTGTGTCCAAAGGGACTAGGACCTGAGCAAGAAAGAGAGGGTCATACGCCTATTAGAGCAGCAGCTCTCCAGGGTGCCACAGCACAGGTGCAACTGCCCTGTGCACCCAGACGGAGAAGGGCTGCAGCAGGGGTGCAGGCTCCTGCCCGCATTAGCCAGCTACGAAACCAGCAGCAGGCAGGACCACTTCAGAATCCAGCAACAGCACTAAAGAAAATGTGGAGCGCTTGGTCTGTGACCTTTGCCGAGTCCCCTTGCCTTCCTGCACCTCCGTTCAGCCTGCTGTAAAACACGGTAGCACCGCGGTCCAGAGGATTAGGTACGCCAAGTGCTTTTAGACTCTGGAGTGAAAGATGTCATCGAACTGGGGAGTACGTTGGAGTATCTGACGGACAGCCACAATCAGGTCAAATACCCGGACATTTTATTGCGCTGGCTCTCTTGGCACTGGTATCGTCAGGCCTTTAATGCAAAGGGTGACAGACGCGCGCACACCACCGCTCACCTGAAGTTTCCACAGGAAGTCGAGCCTTGCTGTGGATTCCACCTGCTGCGCATGCAGATATAACGCCAAGACGAACACAGTTATGACGACCGGGGTCACGATCTTCATCGCCACTCTCACCATTGCTGGAGAGCTGCAGTCAAGAGTAGGATGACACCTTATGACTATCATGTTCCAGGGTGTAACCTGGAAAAACATTTCTCACATTGAGGCAACCCAGCTTTTTCTTTTTTCTAAGTGCCATTTGCCAAAACACAGAACAAAACTCGTCATTGTTGCTGGTGACGGCTGTCGAATCTGATAAGTGAAACTGGAAATGAAATTAAACACCTGACAAAGGATTTTAAATATAAAAGCTGTTCTTTTATATGGATGCCCATTATCTGCTCTAAAACTATTGAGACAATGGGGAAATAACTTAAAATCTTGTTTATGTGGCACTATTTATGTATCCTTTGCTCCCGGACAGTCAATGAAACTAGAAGACCGTGCTACGTTTGCATGTGGTCAATGTGTACTCATTTCCTGGCTTCCATTTATAATTATTCACAATATATCTAGGGAGTTTTATATTGTTTCTACCCTTAGAAAAATAATCTGTCAAAATTTTGTCAAAATACAAAACTGATTAATAAAATCTTACACTTTTATATCAAAATCAGATCTACAACCTGGACCTATAACTAGTTGCCATCATCCTTTCGACAGCATTGTGTTCTGGAGCGGAGCACGTCTGGGCACTGTTCAGCACCCTTTATCTATGCTTACGGACCTACTGAAATTGTGACGTTGCGGAAATCGTGAAATCCCGCACTGCTTGGAAATCCACGGAAAAAACAACTTACAGAAAATAAAATGGCGCTGCAGCCCAGCCGTGGAGTTGGCTGGTGGGGGAGGGCGGCTGCTTCCACCACAAAGGGGAGCCCAAGATGGCTGCCACATCCCCCCTCATTGGCGGAGAGGGCTGCCTATTGTGTGGCCCCACCCCCAATTGGCAGGGAGGAGCTGCACCGCATGACGGACAGCCCTAGCAGCCAATCAGTGGCAAGTGGTGGGGCTGTATAGTGGACGGCCCTCAAACAATCAGCAGTGAGGGGCGGGGCCACCAGGGCCTATCAGCCAATCAGAAGCATTGGAGGGCCCTGCCACAATCAGACCGCAGAAAGGGCGGCCAGCCCCGCGAAATTGGCCAGCCACCCCCTGTCGCTGGGTAGACGCCGTCTACGCCGAACCGTGTTCAATCACAGAACCAACGAGGAAAAGAAACCTTTGCTCTTGGTGACATGCTAGTACTGCTGTACTCTGTGAACGTCTTAAAAAGGCAGCTTTTGGCATAAAATATTTAAACAAGGTGACTTACCATGACGACGTTGCATTCGAGGACACACTGGGGAGGGGGAAAAAAAAAAATCAGACATTTCAGGTGCATGTTTTGGGTTGATCTCAGGAGTAACACAAGTCCTTTTATAACATCACTGAGCAACATCTCTACAGTTTTGCAGCTTAACACTGTGTGGTGCTAGAGCCCTTTGAACGAGGATTTCTCCCGAACGGTCAATAGTTCACTCCGGGGTGTGCAAGGACACCACTGTAATATTTTCCCGCAGAGTCAGGAAGGGTGCGAGCTACATACACATTTTATGTTTAAAGATCCCTGCGAGTGAACTTTCAGAGGATCAAGTGGGATTTTAAATTCAGTGGAAGATGGCAGGCAAAACCAGCTTTTAGACCAGTGGGGGCTAAGGTTTTTGGCTGGCATGCCACAATCCAAGACCCAAACCCACTTAAAATGCCACTCTGATCCCCTTTGGCAGGACCTGCTGCTCTTCCTTCCTTACAGCACTACGCACACGTAGGTAAGAAGGCGACGTTCTCCTTTTACACAAACCTTAAGGGCCATTTCCGGTATAAATCTGCACTGCTACTTCTCACCTGGGCACGTGGCCAAAAAGCAGAGCTATTGGGCAGGCCCAAGGGCATGCTTCCCGTAATGAAAGAGTGAGAAAGAAGTTTTTGGCAAGAAGTGGGTTTCTAGAGCTCTGGTCTGATTGGTTGTTCAATGCTGCTGTAGCATAAATGGAACATGAGGGTGTGTAGGACCATTGATAGCCATCTTTTAACTATTTAAATGGAAATAAATAAGCATCGACAATGATTATTATGTTGTCTTTCTTTAGTGTATATGGTGCTTTATTGGCAAACAGGATAGCAGATCCTTGTCCTGAGGTTTCAGAGACCATCTTGGAATAACTATGAACTATATTATTTGGCAATGTTTCAATGTTCTTCTTAGTCTCCTTGATCACATACTATAGAAGTAGACAGAGGATCCATCAAAATCCAACTGGCTACAAAGCCTAGTGGAAAAATACCTTTAGTTCCCTGATACAATTGCTTCCATAAGATTTTCCGCTATGCTGAGCGCTGGTTTCCTCCTATGAGTTACAGATCTACCCTGCACGTTCATCATTATGAGACATCTTGGCCACCCACGTTACTACCCCAGCGACAGCAAAAAGGTTGCATTTAGCTACGTGAGAATGTGAACTGGGAACTTTGACAAAAGCCACTCCCATCTCTGATCTAAAAATGCACGTCCGCAACGCAACTGTGGCATGCAGGGAAACAGCAGTCAAGGTCTGGTGAATAGCAGCAGCAACCGCTTGCTGCACAATGTATTTGCATTAAAAGGTTGCTCCAATGTGGGTCAGAGATCTCGGAGAGCAGATGGCTCTTTCATCAAGGAGGCAGCAGCATAACGAGATCTACAGGATGGGAGACACTAAACAAATTCAAGCTAGACATAAAGCGTCAACGTTTACCGATGAGGATAGTTTCGGCACAACTCCCTAGGAACATCGTATTCTCCATCCCTTGCAGTCTACATCAGGCCTTTCTAAAAGATATGCTTAGCTCAGACAGGCATTATGGGCTTAATGAGGAAATGATAGGGTCAGTTCTTTGGCCTCTGCTAAAATCATATCTAGATAATTATATTGGTCCCTCTTAACCTAGTATTTATAATGTATATTTATGTCCTGCCTACAAGAGGAGGCTTACATGACAGCATCTTTGGACTTCTGAGTACAATTCAGCTGTCATGCTGCTCGTGTGTCATTGTAGTCACATCTAGTGACTAACAATGTGTTACAATTGGCTTCTGCTTGCTTAGTTTGCACACAGAAGTGTGAAGTGACATCTCCCTAACTGCTAATTAGATACGGTGCTGCAGTGGCTGCAGAGGAGACAGTTATTATGTAGCTATGACAGGTGTTCAATTAAAGTAACACAGGGACGAGTTCCGTATGTCAGCTGGACAAGCAGGTACATCTCTGCTGGGCTGTATCCTGACCTCCCGTTTCCCACAAGGCACAAATGGACTGCCACGTTTTGGGCATTAGCTGTGTCCTGAGCTTTTAGTGCAACTAAAAATCATTTAATGAGAGCATACAGCAGCACAGAAAGGACTTTCTGGGAAAACCTGCTGATTTCCATCACCTTATTACTGACTCGGAGTAGTGAGGTAAATGACACTTGTAAGTGCTGCAATCTGTCTTAGTGCTAGATTTACAGGAACAGGACGAGGCTTGGGGTAGAAGGCTTTTTTTATAATTACATTTTATATTTTTTCTTCCAACAGATGAAGCTATTTAGCAATTTTTTTTCCCCTTAAAAGAGGGGAAAAGACAGTACTTTTACTGAAAGTCATTAAAAATGCATGTGGGTCAGAAGCAATACAAGTTCCATTTGGCTCCCACAACAGCTCCCTTTGCTTGTGCTAGCAAAATAATTGAAGGTATTCTACTGGAAACGTAAGGAGAACCCATAAAACCACAAAATCGTGGGGACGCTAATTAAAGGGATTTGGAACTTTCCGAAAAGTGAGCATGTGCAACTCGCAGCAATCAACGGGCATCGAGAAAGGCTTGAAACCACACGGGCTACTTACCTCCATGATGGCATGATACACGGAAATAATTAAGACAGACCCTAATAAAAGAAGGGAATCTGTCATGTAACCTGTAGAGAGAGTGTGGGGGGTTTGTACCTCTGTTGTGAGCCTCTGATTTCCTTAAGTGAGTTGCAGGGGAAATGGAAGGAGGGGAGAGGTCAGCTGCATTACTGCAAGCCCTATGCTGCAAATCGGTGACCGAGCTACTTCCCGGGGGAAAGAGGTGGCTGGACAGTCCCATTCAGTCTTGGCTGAAGTTGCTAGTGCCACTCGCGGTGCTGATTTCGGAGTTGTGGCTGCCTGTCCAGCAGCGACCGGATGATCAATAAACAGATGTCAGACAACAGTAATTCTTTTAAATTAACGCCAACCAAAGCTGGATTTAAAGCAACTTTTTAGAGGTGAAACTCAGCCCCCACCTTTTTCTTTACCAACGATTCTTGAATATTTACATTTTCCAAGGTGGGCATGAGTGTGTTGATAGAGGGGCCAGCCCCTATTCCACATGTTAATCATCCAAATGGCACTCAGGCACCCTAGTGCAATCCTATTCCACCCTACTCGAATCCCTGAAAACTACTTTTGTTGCATGCCTTTCTGTTATGACTAAATCACAAAAATCTGCAAGGAAGAGGAGGATCCACTTGCTTTTGCATTCATGGTTTTTCAGGTATTCAACCAGGGTGAAACAGGACCACACTTGTGGCCTGTGCATTATATAGGTGCCTAACAGAAAATGGATCTGGTCTGCTGTATGCCAAAAAACTAAAAACATCTTGCAATCAGAATGACTAACAGCAGCCCCCATGCCAAGAAAAGAACTCCACGCTTTGATCCTTCACCAGGAGCCAAATTTCATCTCCAGGAGAACTGCCGTTTCCAAGTATTAGATGTCCATCAGGTGAAGACTAGCAAAACTGATGGAGACCGCAGGTAGTGCCATACTGGGTCAGACAACTGGTCCATATCTAGCCCTGTGTCCTGTCTCCATCAGTGACAGGAGTGGATGCTTTGGAGGGAAAGCACTGAACTGGGTATATCTACAGTATTTGCTCCCATACATCCACCATCACTGGTACTGAGATGCCAGAGAAAGCATTTCCATCAGTTCTGTTTAATAGCCATTAATAGATCTAGTCCCTTGTTGAACCTGGCTGCACTATGTGCCTGTACAACCTTTCCATAAGTTAATTACGCCTTAATTTATGAGAACTCGTGTTGCCTGCACAGTTCCTCTGTCTCCAATACTGTGGTCCCTGAATACAAATCTTCCTCATGACACAGTGAAGTCACATCATTTAAACCACGGGGGAGCAGGGGGGTGGGAGGAGAGTTAATTTAGTAAAAGGAAAGCACGCTTACTAGGCATTCGCAGTGACCAGAAGATCGGCATTGTCGAAGAGGTTCACCCCGGGAACCTCCACAATGAGAACGTAGATAAATTCAATGATTAGCATGAGGATCAGTTTCCCGATGCAGCTGATCTGAAGGAACACAGAGCAGGCCAGGAGACTCAGTAAGACACTGTAGGTAAAATACTGCAGAAAGACAAAAAAGGGGGGGAAAACAACACAAGAGAAAGATAAGTACTTGAGCTAAATGAATCTGTAGGCTGGGGGCCAAGATATTTGGTCACCCAGGATACCGTTACTAAATCCCATTAATAATTAGGTCTAGTAAGTCCCGGCCAAACTCTGCTCTCTGTTAAACTTTCACAACATCAGGGGTCTGCGTGAGGCCATGGGTGCAGACACCCTGGTCAGACGGGCCCCTGGAGTCTCAGGTGAGGAGCCAACGTCAGCAGCCAGTTTTGGAAATGTCCCCTCTGTGGATGATGGCTGCCATGACCGATGGGCCCCGTCAGTGGGATCAGGGCTTGGC